GTTCCCTATGCCATCTTGAAAGATAGCTTTTACATTGAAGCAAGACATAAGCTATTTCTCAAATTGCAACCTCACTGCGTGGTTGTCTCACTTAATGCAAAGGCAAGGTGGCATTTATAGATGGTAGATAATCTGTGAAGAAGACTGATCTTCAAAGCTCAGTTTATGAAGTTTTATATCCAGCTGTAATATTGATCATTTTACTATTTTCAGCTTGATCCAAATCGATGTGAAAGTTGTTATGGAGCTGAAACACCTGAAAAGAAGTGAGTTTCACAACAGGGTTTGATATCAACTGACTGTGTTATGAATACTCCAATTTCGAGCTCTGGTTTGCTCAGTAGTTATAGGATAACAGTAACAGTGACGTTATAATCAAATATTTCCGGGAATATGCAAAATGCCTCATTGTTGATTGTCGACTAGATGGTATGGAGTTTGCCATTTGGAGTAACCACATGCGCTCTTTGATTGCCTTAATAAATTCTTCCATTCATTTGTATATCTTGCCAGTCATCAATTAATTAATTAATCCCTCCATCCATTCACTGAATAATCCATGATTTTTCCCAGTTTTTCTGATATACATTCATTCATCCATCCATTTTTTTAAGTTATAATCTATTTTCAATAATATCACTGCTCCTCTTATTTCAGTTGTTGCAATAACTGTGAAGAAGTTCGAGAGGCTTACAGAAGAAAAGGATGGGCTTTAGCTAGCATCGATGACGTTAAACAGGCAAGATTATTATATATAATCACTAATAATTAGTAATATTATCATTAATTTATAGGTTAAGCCATCTATGTTAAAGGTATTTTAATGCAACTATTAAAATCCCTAAACATGTGTGACTTCTTTATGTAAAAATGCCTCCCTGTGATGAATTTTGAAGATTTGATTTCTTTTTATTCATTTAGTGTGTGCGTGAAGGCTGGAAAGACAAGCTACAGGAACAAAAGAATGAGGGCTGTCAAGTGTATGGATACCTAGAGGTCAACAAGGTGTGTGAATTAACTTTACAGGTCAAAACTACTAAAGAACTTTTAGGCAAAAAGCTGGGCAATAGACACCTGTGGAACAGGGGGAGGGGAGCGTTTTTGGCCCTGGGGGAGCTACGAAGATTAATTAATATTGTGGTCAAGAAATCCTTTTTTATTCATCAAGCTTTCATTTTGCAGTAAATATACCTGTACATTATTGGAAAATAAAACGAGCTTTTATCATGATGAAACAAAATTTAATTTTCGAAAATACTTTGGGGGCTGCAGCCCCCCCGTTTCCGCCCCCCCCTGTGGAAGAGGTTAAACAACAATGACATAAATTGCCTGGCTACCCAAAGATTTATCCAAATAAAACCTATATTCAAACAGACATTTCACAATAAACCATCATGTTTTACAGGTTGCAGGTAACTTCCACTTCGCACCTGGAAAAAGCTTTCAGCAGCACCACATTCACGGTAAGATGGTCTGGGTACATAAGTGTCCATCACTTTGATGTTATTCAACAGTTTTCAAGTTGTTGTTTTTTTTATATATATATAATGCGTGTATATTCTCCAAATTGTTTTGGTTTGTTTTTGTGGTCAGAAGATTAGCCATTGAGACATTGTTTTAGTGCTTCATCCCTAGTGCTCTGGTTGGCGACGGTGTCATTTTTGAAAGTTGTCAATAGAGTTTAAAGTGTGATATTCTGTTTGTATTTCAGTCTCACTGGAGAATGTACTGTGCAGATATCAACTCAAAGTCTGTAGCGACATGGCTGCCTCATATATATTATCACAGACAAGGAGCCAGTGATAAAATTATTTCTAGTTCCATAGTGGACAGGTAAAAATCTTGAAAATATTTGAGATTCATGATGATGAAAATTTTGAAAAGGAACAGATTTCATGGGGGTGCGCAAAAAAAAACAAAAGAACAAAGCAAAACAAAAACAAAACAACAACAGAAAAACACACACACACACAAACAGCAACTTTAGTGAGAAAAATCAAAATTTCTCCTAAAATTTTTACACCATGTCTAATAACTTATGCACCAACAGAATATACAGTATTTGCAGTAGATTGTAGTCGCCCACAGTAAACTTTAGGCTTGGCTGTGTTGTCCTAAGGCTATGGTCTTATCTCAGTTCAATGTTTAAAGTATTGAATGGTGTCACCCACCTGAAACTACATTCTGCTGTAAAAAACACATACACAAAAAATAAACAGCAACTTTAGGTTTGGCTGTGTTGTGCTAAGGCTATGTTCTTCTCTCAGTTCAATGTCTGAACTGTAACAGTTACAGTTTTGAATGGCATCACTCACCTGAAACGACATTCTGCGATCGTGTGGTATTGTCTAAGGTGTTGTTCAAGCCACAGATAGTCATGTAAAATCTTCTGCAGTTTCTTAGAATTATTTAAATTTTGTGTAGTTTTGTCCAACATCTTTCAAGGTTTTTCACAGATATACTAAGTCCATTCTATCACAATCTTTAGTTCAAGCAACAACACATCCAAGAAAGGAGGGAGGAAGCTCTCTGCAGTATGGAAA